CACTGACCTCTGCAGCTGTATCATTTAACCTTTCTTTTGGGGGATTTGAAAAGGCAAGGGACAGAGTAAGTCTGGTCTCTAAAKTGGAAGTAGTCAAAGAAGGTAAAATTTCAGTRATGAATATGAAATGCAGATTCTTCRGGTCTCTCCACAAAACCAAAATCAATGAGACCACTCAACAAACTCACATTTCTCCTAACTTTCTTATCACCTGAAGTGACCATTCAACACTTTAGGGTTAGTCTGTCTGACCACATGTACTTCCAAAAGCATTTCTCAGGTTTTATTTATCTATTTATTCATAAAAAAATCTCACTCTCCTTGAAACCCAGTGCAAACAAATAAATGTCACCCTCAACACTATCAGCATGAGAATCACATCACCTGAGAGGAGAGGGTGAGTAGGAAGAAGCCTGAGGGAAAAAAAAAACAGGCAACAAACACAAAAAAAGGAAAAATTATGGGAAAAGCAGCCAAACTTGTATCTTGTGGGAGACAGGGAAAAATCTTGTTGGCTTCCAAGAACTTAGGTTTCCCTTTCCCCCCTCCCCCCTCCAACTTATTAACTTACTAATTAAAAGTAATTTTTTGAGTAATCCTTATTGGGAGTTTCCTGTTTACACAGCAGTTACTCCATGATCCAATAAACTCCCTGGCCTGAAGTACGTGACCTTGACACACACACTCAGACCAGAATACAGCACTTACCTTGTAAACAGGAAGCTGCCAGTGCACCAAGGCACAGGATCAAGAAGCACACAGAAGTTATACTTCTGTACCAGCACTTCCTGCAGCTTACTTCAAGTGCTAATCAGAAATTAAATCAAATAATAGATCATGAATATCTATGCCAACAAGCATTTGCGTGCACCCTCTGAAGCTTTCTTGAAAAATGTTGTTTTTTTTTTTAATTGTAAACATATTCCATGGGCTGATACAGCCAAAAGACTTTCAGGCACCACCGGGTGGCTTCTGAAAGGCTTTTAGGCATAAGTGAATTAGAGCAAAGAAGAGGAAACTTTTATTACAACCTGCACCTCATTGTTTTGGGGTTGTATGTAGATGACAAGCGTTAGTGCTCAGATATTCTGGAAGGCTTTATGGGAACCACACACATGGTAACACGAGCCAGATGTATGGGTGTATCAATAAAGACTTGAACACCAGGCTGCAGCTAAATGGATGGCTCTGCTAACCTGCATCATAAAAATCTGCCTTTTGATAAGAGCAGGAGCAGCAACAAATCATATCCTCTGATTGGGAACATAAATTCCAAACCAGTGGACTTTGCATTTTAATCTTAGATACACTAATCTATTTTACAAAAGTGATAGTCCCACTTCACCTTGGTTCTCTACAGTTCCAAGTTATACAAACTGCAACAGGTCTACAAAATATAATTTCCAAAAACATATCTCAAGCAATCAACAATCATCCCCACTCAGCCCCTTGATAGAAAGAAGGACTGGACATAAAAGCAAGCGCAAATTTGTCCCTAATACAGAACACAGGTATTTGCAGTCCCCCTAATAATTTCTCAGCAGTGGCCCATCTTAGGAGACAGTTTTCAGAGAATGCCCATCAGAAGTTAATTGCACAAAAAAGAAGGACAAATGGTCTAATATTAAGATGTTATAAAGACAATTTCGAAGGGAGAACTTCCATGCAGCTGTAGTGATCTGGTTTTGAAAGGCATTTGGCAGACACCAAGTGAATTCCTCAAACATTCCTTTTAAACAGGTTTGGGCAAAGCAATTAGCTGTCCCTTTAAATAACTGGATCTACCCACAATCTACTACCAAATTTCTGACACAGCAAGATTTAAAAGGGAACTCACCACCAAGGCTAGCACCACTTTTCCCCCCTCCCTTCCACAGGGATTTTTTATACTGTACTCTATGCAGGAACCCACAGCTACCAGTGCTTGCTGCACTAAGGAGTCTCTCTTATTCTATAGTTTTTGGACAAGAGCCCATCAATAACAAAACATATGAATGGTTAAAGCTGAAAGGGACCTCTGGAGATGGCTTAGTCTATATGTAGCCATTAMACCCTTGAAAAAAACATCAGCAGCTATGCTCCACTGCAGATACCTACCACCAACAACATACTACAGTAAAGGTGCTGGACTCATGCTACCAATATTTGGACTTTGTACCACGTGAAAGGCATGAAACCCACCAAAAAGACCATGATGGGCTTWAAAGTACAGTATTCTCCAAAACTATGTTGGTGCACATGCAGATTCAAAGGGAAGAACAAAAACTGACTTGGGCAGCAGTCCCACGGAAGTGCCCTTCCATTTGACTCATGCTAACGGCACCATCTAGTGCATTACATGCAAATTGATCTTGTTTTCATAGGTAACAAAACAGGCAGTAAAGTTAATATCACAGAGTAATTTCTACTAAAATTAGAAAATTAGCAGATATTGCGTATAAATAACTCATGCTAAAAATACTTGTTGTGTGCATACCAGTCACTGAAAGATCAATCCCCAAGCATTTTACCCAAATGATGATTGCTGTGATCARAACAGACAAACAAGAATTGCTTCAGTCTTTGGCTACAGAATCAAGAAGTTAAATGCGAGTAAAACTACCAGTGTCAAGTCAAAGTTACACTCCAGAGAACAGATAGAGGCTAAAGGAACAAATGTTGAATGTGTTCAAGTTGCAGCACTACAGCAGTAACCACCTTTAATCAAATCAAGACGCCAATACAAAGTTGAAGAATAGGTACCTCTATTTTGTTCTCTAAAACTTCACAATCATTTTATAATTTTCACCTCATCACATAATTCCATCTTTCATCATCTCTCTCTGTGGAAATGTTTCAGTTCTTCAGGGCATGCCTTCATTCTYTGTTCAGACTTTGTTTGCACAGCTTCAAAGTGAGATAGACAACACCAAGCAGTGCCCAGAGTGCCTTTTGTGCTCCAGTCCCCATTTCTGGAAAGGAAAAGTGCTTCCTCARGCTAGCCAACTGCTGCTGTGCTGACCAGGCATTTCTACCAACYTGTCCACTCCAGGAGCACAGGCAAACACCAAATATCAGGAGTGAAGATTCCTGGAACTGGATTGTTTTGAAGGAAGAAATTTGAGGCATTTAATTGACTCGGTGAACCTATCAGGCTACTCTGGCTAATATCTGCAGCCTTAAAGGAAGAATTATCCCATTATCCTGTAGTTTACAGCATTAATCATCTTGCTATGCCGCTACTCCAGTTAAAGAAAAATAGGAAAAGAAAAAAAAAAAAAAGTAGTTTACAGCATTAATCATCTTGCTATGCCGCTACTCCAGTTAAAGAAAAATAGGAAAAGAAAAAAAAAAAAAAAGGCAGGTAGAGCTTTCGTAATAGTAGCATGGCAGCTAATAGGATATAAACATATAAATTACCAAAGTGGACAAAACAAGCTCTTACTTTATAATTGCAAATTACACACAGCCCTAATCATGGAATCATKAAATYATTAAGGYTGGAAAAGACCTCCAAGACCATTGAGCCCAACCTTCGACCAACTACCACTAGGTGAACTAAATAGTAGCAGTAAGTGCCATGTCCAGTCATTTTTTTAATGCCTCCAGGGATGGTGACTCCACCACCTCCCTGGGCAGTGCATTCCAATGCTTAACTAACCCTCTGGTGAAAAAAATTCTTCCTAATGTTCAACCTGAACCTCCCCTGGCACAGCTTGAAGGCATTTCTTCTCATCCTGCTGATACTTGCCTGGGAGAAKGGGCCAATCCCCACTGCAGGACAACCTCCTTTCACATAGTTGTACAGGGAAACAAGGTCTCCCCTGAGCCTTCTGTTTTTTTGGGTGAGCCATGGGCTGCCAGCTTCTCCAGGAGAATGCTGGGGGACACAGTATCAAAGGCTTTCCTGAAGTACATGTAAGCACATCCACAGCTTTCCCCTCATCCAATGGGCAGGTCACCTGGTCATAAAAGGAGATCAGGTTAGTCAGGAAGRACCTGCCTTTCCTAAACCCATGCTGTGGCCTGATCCCCTRGTTGTCCTGTATATGCTAGTAAACTACCAAATGGACCTTAATGGCCAAGCTTCTTCATAAGCTGCCTGAAAGGGCAACTAAGATGAGTTCCCACCTAAATTATGATAGAAAAGARTGATAGTCTAAACCCAAATACATTTTTAAAGTAGCTTGGGTGGATAAAGCACACTTGCTTCATCTTTCAYAGAATCACAGAATGAGYTGGGTRSAAGTGACCTCAAAGGTCATCCAGTTCTAACCCTGCTGCCATGGGCAGGGTCAGTCTCCACTAGACAAGGYCCATCCAGCCTGGCCTKGAACWYTTGCAGGGATGGGGCATCCACAGCTTCTTTGGGCAGCCTGTGCCAGTGCCTCATCACCCTCACCATAAAAAAACTTCTTCCTGATAYATAATCTAAACCTACTCTCTTTCATTTCAAAGCCATTACCCCTAGTGTCCTAGCCCTGCACATCTTTGTAAGAAGTCTCTCACCATCTTTCTTGCAGACTCCCTTCAAGTACGGGAAGACCACAATAAGGTCACCCCAAAGTCTTCTCCAGGCTGAATAATTCCAATTCTTTCAGTCTTTCCTCATAGGAGAGGTCTTCCATTCCCCTAATCAGCTTGGTGACCTTCCTCTGAACTAGCCTGATTGCCAGGAGAAAGGAAAAAAAAAAGGAGTCTTAAAAAACAGGCAAAAGCAATGAGAAACCCAGGGATATCAGTGATTAAATAACCAGTGTTACTTTGCCCCACTCAAGACCCTCAGGAAGAGCTCCAACACCACACACAGCTATCAYAACAGCATAGAGACATCGAAATATGCGAGCTTCCTGCACTTCCGAGAGGGCAGAAACCTCCTCTTTTCCCCCCAGGATGAACCAGCTCAGGGCTTGCCAGGGACTAACATGGCGGGTGCGGCCTCAGGGCCCCGCTGGCGCATGCGCCGCCCCGCCCGCCCGCGGCGCGCTCTGACGCGAGCAGCGTAAACAAAGCGGCGCCCTGTGGGAAGAGGGAAGCGCTACGTGCAGGAAGAGGGAGCCTCCATCTTAGGCGCTCGTCGCGGCGGCGGGATGGCGACGGATAGCCGGGAGGAGAAGGGTGCGTGGCCGTAGGGGTGGGGGCAAGCGTTAAGCCCCGGGGAAGSGGTCAGGCTGGGGTGGGGGCCCGATCTCCGCCCGAGCCTTCYCCCTTCCCCGGGGCCACCTTGGAAGCTGGTGCTGGGCCTTCACCCCGGGGGACRTACGTCTCCTCCGCGGGAGCGGAGRGGCGGCGGGCTCAGGAGTGACCTTTCGAGGATGATTTTTTTACKGAAGCATTCCCTGTGTTTTGCTGGGGAGCTGGAGGTAATAGGGCCCCTCATACTGTTGTGTCCCGGCGGCAACGCGCTCGGGGCAAGGTGACTCGAGCAGCGGGAAGACGGCTAAGTTCGTGGGCCGTAAGTTTTAATTACCGACATGGAGTTATTGCTGGTTGAGTTCTCGCAGAAAATATTTGCTATTTTCATTGAGGATTTTAAATTTTATTTCTGCTTGGATCGCTAGGCCGTTTGTTGGAGGTTTTTTGCAGGCTTTTCTGTGGAAGGATGTAGTTACTTTAGTAAGCAGAAACTGGTGTTGGAATATTATTTGGGTGATTGTTTGTCGGCTTTTTGCAGTCAGCTGTGCTTTCTGGGCAGTGTGGGTAAATAAATTTGAGTTAGAGGAATCGGGCGTTTTCAGAGTCATTACTCAGGAATAATAATCTGGGATAATTACCCTCGGATAATAGAATCACAGCTCTTGTAGCCGACTGCCGCTATACACGGAAGCTAAAGTGATCCGCATTTTATCTGTGAGATTATATCAATCAGTCCTCACAAAATAGCATCTTTTAGAAGCAAACCCGAAGTTAGGTATAGCAGATTGCCGTTTGGTGGTTAGTGCAGAGAGTTGCGGAGTTTTAGAAATGTGAAGTATCACTAAGATATTCAGGTTTGGTTCACGTTCATCTGGATTTCTGTGGAGAATATGCTTCACATAAAGCCTTTTGCGGGATATGTGTACACAAAATGGCTTTGTCAGAGTGCTAAAGGTTTGCTGATAGTTATTGTGGAACTATATGACGTGGAAAGTTCCCAGTAAATTTTATTAGAACTGGTAAATAAAGTTATTGGTGGTGTTTGATTCTTAATGGTGTTATTATGAGACTGGTAGATTAGGCTATGATTAGGTTGTGTTGAAACAGATCTCGTCTGCCACTGTGGATGAGCAGTGAATTTGAAATGTTTGCTGTTGCCATCTAAAAATTTCTATTCATGTAATTATTTATCCAGTTGGGCTTTAGGCATGTTTTTATTAGGCATTTTTTATTTTTAAAAATAGGCTTTTAGGCATTTTTTATTTTTTTTAATCACTGCCAGTAGTCAAGTCATATTTTTACTTTAACTTGCTTTTAATTATTTCTCATGTGGAAGGGATTCTTTTGGCCAAATAGGTGTTGATGTACATTTGTTTGCAACTAAACTTATTTCTGCTGTAAGTGCTCCCTTTGAAAGAGAAATGCTATTTTACCACTCAAAAAAGTAGAAATAAGGCTTGCAGACCTGTTTAGTTTGAAATCACAGGGTCTTACCTCTTTTGTGTGCCAAATGAGATTTTTGGTTGGACCCTTCCAATCGATCTAATGCTCCTGGCCAACAGAGGAAATGGCCTCCCAGCCTACCTTCCTGCTGTTTTGAGTGAGTTAAATTTGTTCATGGAGGGATCTGGCAAAAGAAAAGTGGCAGGAGAGCYGTGTTGGGAGTATCTGTCGCAGAAATAACTCATTTGGGGCCTTCCCCTTCAGTGGTGATGGACTAAAAAATACCTGTCCTCTGCCATTTTTTGTTTCTGCTTATGTGTTTTTCCCAATACCTCTCTGAGATAATTTAACTCTTCGGGTTGAAAACTGACAGTGGCAGTTCAGTGAGAGAAATTGTCTTGTGCAGGTCAGTCAAGCACTGTGTCCAATTCAAGTGGGAGGAAGCAGGCTACCAAATAAATCTGGAAATGTGTTTCTAAACAAATTAGGTAGATGTGCCTATAGAAAAGGATGGGGCAACTCATCCTGCTCCTTTCTGTTGTACCCTTGTTTAAGGTTCCAGCTACAAATAAGGGCCATCTAACCTGGAAGGGATTTAGAAGAGTGTATGTGTCAGACTTGTGTTTCCTGTTAAATTTTCCTTCCCATTTGTTTCTGAATGAGCTGATACAGCTTTTAGCACCTCTGAATGCTGCTACAGTAGCTAGGTTGAATGTGGTTTACTCAAGTGTGCTGTTGCCTCACCAAGAGGGAAACAAATCTAAGGTTCAATATGTGTGATTTGAGATGATGTATTTAATTTTCTCATCCTAGTGCCCTCTAGGATGAGAGGCATCTCTTTTTCATTAGCATCCAGTAAAAAAATCTTGTGCTCTGGACTTGCCAGGCTTCCTGTGGGCAAGCAGAATGCAAGCCAGGAAATTGAATCCCATGTTTGGCAGTTGCACAGCCATGAATCTGACTACTGTATATTTATCAGTAACTGCAAGAAGATTTGCTGTGGATATATAGGTGTCTACAAACAGAAAGGGCCGTTCCCAAGAGAACTATGATGCTAGTTCGTGTTGCATTCAAATGCTTGTTAACTGTAAACCGCCAGGGAAAGGTTTGATCCGCTTCTCTCTGCACCATTTCCTTTGCGTTCCACGGACCAGTGGAGCAGTCCAGAGATCACTTCTGCATTCCCCTTCCACCAAAAATGTGGAGAGGTGCCAGCAGGAAAGTTAGTAGACATGCTGACTAAAAGATCTGGTAGCATATAGTAGAGAGATAATTATAATACTTTTTTTAATAATGTGGATTATGTTTGGGGTTTTTTCAATATCAAGTTGTAAAATTTCTTTTGTGGCTCAGCTCAAGATTTTGAGATAGGCAAGCTGTCAAACTCTGGAGGCCTAATTTGCTGCATTACCCTAGTTTCATGCATTACAGGAGTTGTTAAATGCATCTGCTACAGATATTGTCAACCAGCTGAATCCTTGGAGTTTGCTCTGCTTTCTTTTTCCTGAGCACAGAAAATGTAATCAGTCCCAAAGTGGAAAGAACTAAGAATTCTGGAGAAAAAACATGCAGTTCCAAAATTATTAATGTTTATATTTTTCCCTTTGCAGGCTTAGGCTTAGTTCATTCCAATCTTTTAAAGTGCTTGGAATACAGATCTGCTGCCTTAAAACTGGTGGATCCTTCTACTAGAATCACCATATATCCCCTTTGGTTTCAGACAAAGTGAAACAGCCAGAGATGGGGACATTTCTGGGGACAACCAGATTTTAAAAGTTGTGTAGCCAGATGTGGTTATTTACTGCATCTAGCATGGATTTTCTTTAACATTTGCCCTTTTGATCAAGTTGCGGGGCTTTTTTAAAAACAGCTCAGAGTTAATTATGCAGCAAATGAATACTGCTTTCTCCATTACTTTTCTTCTATTTTTAAATGAACTACAAAACCCACCGTTCTAATACAGCAATGACAACAAAAATAGTGGAAGGGACATAATTCAACATGCAGGTTTGAGAATTTTGCAGAGATAAGGATCCCTCCTCTTTACTAACAGCACTCAGACTATCTTCTGGTTTCCCTTTTTCTAAAATTTTGCACAGGTTTTTATATTCAGCGTTTATTTGTAGGTCAGCTTTCTTGCAAAGCTTGTGTGACATGAGGAGCCAACTTGGACCTTATTCAGAGGTCTGAATGCTTCTTGGACATATTTTAGTTCTTTTATAGGCTCTGCTTGATCCTTCCAGCTGAAATTGTGGAAATTTCATTGTGGAATTGTGGAATCAAGAAGATGTCAGGTTTTGCCTTGTGGCAGACCTGTAGCCCTAAGGGAAATGTTTGGGTTTGTAAATGCTAGTCCTGTAGTTTACATATCCAGACTTTTTTATGATTGGTTTTGACATGTTTGTATTTTCAGATGGTGAACTGAATGTTCTGGATGACATTTTGACTGATGCTCCTGACCAGGATGATGAGTTGTATAACCCCGACAGTGAGCAAGACAAAAGTGAGAAAAAGGGTATGTGACTTTGGTAGTGGATGTCCTGCAGGAACGTAAATAGTAAAAAAATGTCAGTTTTATTACAGACAAAGCCTTTGATATAGTGGATTTTGTAACTTTATTTGAAGAGTGCACGAGTTCCAAAAGTTTTTGTTTCATGGACATGTGCTTTTTCACCTGATGTTCCAAGCAAACAGTCAAGACTGTTTCCTTTTGTCTCAAGAGCAGTTGTGGAGTTTGGCTTATTTTACATTCATTTGGTTACAAAATGACTGTCCTTTTTGGCTTGATCAAGTGAGATGGAAATGAAGCAAGGGGGTTGCAAAGTCTGATTCCAGCTCAGTTCTTGATTTGGCTTTGGGCCAGTCCCATAAACATTTAATTTAGCATTCCCATATAGAAAATATAAGAAACTCATAACTCTTTAAAAGTGAAGTACATGCTTTAGATCATGAGCTGTTCCTAAGAAGCAGTTTTGAGTATTGCTGCAGAGCCTACAACTGGAAGATGCTCCCTATGACTGCAACAGGGTAATTACCTAAAACAGAAAAGTAGGAGCCTCTGTACAAATTTAGTTGTGGTATCGGAAATAACACTGAACTTGATGTTTCTTTCTATTTAAGGATCAAAAAGAAAAACTGACAGGATGGAAAACGCTGAAAGCAAGAGGCAAAAACCTTCTGTGCATTCTTCGAGGCAGATGATGCCAAAGCCTCCCAGTTCATCAGTTAGCAATAATAAGAGAATAGTGAGTACAAAAGGAAAGCCAGTATCTGAATACAAGACTGAGGAGTATCAGAGATCTGACAGAAGCAAGCGCCCAGACTGTGATCGAAAGATGCGAATGTCAAGCAGTTCCAGGGAACCTTATAAAGGACAACCAGAAAAATCTTGCATGAGGAAGAGGGATATTGACAGAAGGGCGAAGTCTTCTACACCGGATGGTTCAGAGGTATTAAGTATTCTTGCTGCCTTATAAATAAAGCAATTTTATGAGACTTTTATAAGGCACGTTCTCTTAGGACTGTGTGTGCATCCTGACAATGTTATATGACTGCTGATTCACTTTTTCTTTAAACATCAGAGAATCAGGCATGATGTGGATAGAAGACCAAGCAGATCTAGCCATTCTTCAAAAGAAGAGGTGAACTCTGAGGAATATTGTTCAGATCACGAGACTGGCAGTAGTGGTTCCTCTGAACAAGGCAACACAGAGAATGAGGAGGAAGGAATGGAAGAGGAGGAAGATGACGAAGGGGAGGAGGATGAAGAAGTAGAAGAAGATGGTGAGGAAGATGAAGAAGAATATGAACAGGATGAGAGGGATCAGAAGGAAGGAAATGACTATGACACCCGGAGTGAAGCCAGCGATTCTGATTCTGAATCTGCCTCTTTCACAGATGGGTCAGTCAGATCGGGGTCTGGTTCAGATGCATCAGGTAGGCAGCTTCTTACATGCTAATCTGAAATACCTTGCCATTGAAAGTTTGGCTACTTTTAAAAATAACCACTTCCTGACCACGTCAAAAGTAAACCATGGTAGCACGAGTCAGTAAGATGTTAATTATGAAATACCGTAGGCAAGGAAAAAATGTACTGGAAACTGGTATTTCCTTACACCAAAATTATGAATATCCAGATTAYTGTGTTGAGGATTCACAGTGTTCTTGACTGCTTTGGCCTTGCTTTTCAACACTTTGAAACACTAAAATTTGTATTTTCTTGGGTATCTAGTGGCTTAGTTTTTCACACGATTCATTTGAATTGAGTGTTGAGCTGTTTAGTGTCCATCCTAGATAAGTGAGAGGGTAGACTGATGTGGTAAAAGCACCATATCCCTGAGGAGAGTTAGTTGAATCTCAAATAGTGGCTGTATTCAGCATAGGAAATCTAAACCTAAGCTGACATTGTTAGCTGTTAGGGAAAATTTGGAATAAAACAAATGTTTTAAGCAGAAACTAGAAACAGTTGCTTTGTAGTTGTATAGCTGGTCTTGCCTTACAGATGTGATGTGCTAATGACGTAAATACTTTTGGGTTTGGCAGTTCGTTGTTTGTTTTTTCTAGGAAAGCAGCTTGCAATCCTGTTAAGATTCCTATTGTGTATCTTCCTTGTCTGAAGTCTCCATAGGTGGTCATCCTGCTTAACATGCTGCCTTTTTTAGCTCAGCTCTGCTGTTTGGAATTAGAGACAGCAAGGTGTAACCTAAAGACAAGTGAAGCTGTAATAACTGTTCTAAAAAGCTCTGTGGTGTAACATAACACTTTCTTAAGAGTGGAAATAATTGCCTGTGTGCCACAGTGTTTTGTTTTGCTGTCTCTTACCATTTTTTGGAGCTTTGAGCTCTGAGCATCAGCTGTTGTAACACAATTTGTGGATGATGTTGCACATATGGGTGAAGGCTGGAAAGAAGCGCTAACCCACCCTTACTAAAAATGATAATAAATTCTGTTTCTAAATATTGCACAGATTTACTAGATTTGTCGTGTTCATCTTGAGCTTGAGTAACGGGCATTTGCTTCTTTTGTGCATGATAGTTTTGTGGCAACAATCACAATTTTAATGTGCAAGCCAAATGGTAACTTCACTTTTACCGGTATTGTTTTCCTGTCTCATTACTTTTTAATCTCAGCTATGCCTGTGTTGAAAATACAGTTTTTAATTTTTATTGTTCTTTTAGATGAGAAAAAGAAGGAGAGGAAGAGAGCTAGAGGTATCTCTCCAATTGTTTTTGACAGAAGTGGAAGTTCTGCATCAGAATCCTATGCAGGTATTCTTCCCTTTCATTGCTTGTCACTGTGACTTGCATCAAATCATAATGTGTAATCTAAAATAAATGTAACTGGCTGTAGAGATTTATGGAGTATGTAGCTTTGTATAATTTGGTATTGACTTCTGGCATGTTGTATGTGGATACCTTGGGGGAAAGTAGGCTTTCTTGTTACTTTAATGCTATTCTGTTGCTTAAGTGGAATTTTCACTTTTTTTTTTAAACTTGGAAGATGATGATTCAGTGACTAGTTTTCTGAGGAGGAAATTGTTCAAATATTATTTAAAAAAAAAACAAACCCAAATCAAACAACCCAAAACCAAAATCAAAAAAACCAAAACAAAACACTCGTGCACATTGAATAGTATTTTTTGTGTGTGTGGGTGCGCGCCAGAAAGCATAATTTGTCATGAATGAAAATTGTATGTGACAAGGCTGTAGAAATTGTATATTATCTCTATTAAGGCTCAATCTGAACAAATGTACTTTGGCTAAACACAGGTTCAGAAAAGAAGCATGAGAAATTATCATCTTCCGTTCGTGCTGTCCAAAAAGGTATCATTTAAATTTGAATTCTTAATGCATGCCCCATAGCAAGCCATTGTCTCTGTTGATTAAATTACATGTAAGTAGTGATGTTCTGATATAAATCAATTTGAGCACGCCATTGTTCTGAGCATGATAATTGAATCTTGAGCTACTTTTGCATGTGTTGAGAGCGATATGCAAAAAGTTCAGTCATTTTGCTCTTTGCAGAGGCAGCAAATTTTAAAAAGGAAGTGCTTAAAACTGCAAAGAGGAACAGCATTCACCATTCTCTGTTGAACAGCTTGTGCTTGTTACGAGTGTTACCCATCATTTATGCAAAGATTTTTAAGCAAGGAGATGAGTCCTACATATCGGAACATCACTGAATCATGCTGATTTTATTTTACTTTTTTCTTTACCCAGACATCTAAGTTTTAATTTGGCTTGATTTCCCCTGGCATTTTGTGCTCTGCAGCTTAGAGTTCAAGTTGGGTGGTTGACTGTGATAATACATAGATAGGAACTGTTCGGGATACTGTGTATTTTGAAGGAAGCAAACAGCTATCTGCTGAAAGCAAATATTTTGATAAATATTTACAGTTCAGCTGATTTGATACTTTGTTTTCCTTTCAGACCAAACAAGTAAACTTAAATACATTCTCCAAGATGCAAGATTTTTTCTCATCAAGAGTAATAACCATGAAAATGTATCACTTGCTAAGGCAAAGGTATGTTGAATTTTCTTCAAATTGATTGCTTTGTTTTCAGACACGCCGGTCTTAGTATGGAAAAGCATGTAGTTGGATGGRCTCTTCATCACTGAGATCTTGGTAGGTGGAGGGGTAAAAGCTGCTGCACCTTGGTTCTTCTGCTTCTGCTGTAATCTGGAAAAGTTCCTGGACCACTGGTCATTTATCTTAGCAAGAAAAGGGTTAAAAGGGCCCTTAGGGTCTGTTTGATAACATCCTAAGACAGCCTCAATCAGGAATTCTGGGATGGTGTATTCTCCCCTGCATCAGCACCTCTGTTTATATGGCTGTACTTTGAGAAGTTCAAAAAGGTTGTTTGGCTCTGTTCTAAAGCTACACAAGTAATTTTTGTCAGGAAATTCAGGACCTGAAATTTTACTATGGAAATGTATGTCTGGCAGTGCTGGACTTCAGCTCTTGACGAATTTCACAAGATGTCCATTGCACCCCTCTGATGGTTTTGTATTGGCATATRTTACATGGAACAGGCTATAAAGAAAATACTTGATTTGCTGTTAGTGATTCTATTAATGAAGATTTTCTAAATTAGAATGAAAACAGCATTAAAATTATTAAACAGCATGAAATGATTAAATCTCTAAAGTCCTGAGCAGGTTTGGCTCACACCCCTTCTTCCAGCTTTGAGTCTGATCTGTGCAGTGCACACTGTTCTGACTGGTGTTTGCTTTGGGTGGTCTGTAAAGCAGTGTATCCTTTTTTGTGCCTCATCCATGTATGGAGCTGCAGTAGTATCCTTGTTCCTGAAGTTCTTGGAGTGGATGTTTTATCTCTCAGTGTAGAGGCTCCAGTGCTTTGCCGTTGGACTTTCATGAAACTCGCTTTTGTGGTGCCATATTGTTCTAGTTCACAGCAGGGCTTTACAAGCAGCCAAAAGCCTTGTAATCTGACTGAAAGCTATCAAAAGCCTCAAGTACTTCTCTGGTGATTATATGAATTACCAGAGTCAGACAAACACTGATCTGAGTTCAGAGTAGGGCATGAACACATACCTTCACTAAAAAAACCTAAGGCAGGGAACATTGTCTTGGGTAGACTGTAGACCCTATTGTAAGGCTAAAGCTTGTTTACCCAGAAAATGGATTGAGGAGTGATTCAGTAAACTGTTATTCTATATCTCAGCTCGGTACCTTTAAACGGATTGGGTTTTATTGTGCATGGCTACATAATGGCTGGTGAAAGGGAAAAGGTACTACTTAGTAGGTGGAGATGTGCAAGGCTGAACAGAGTGGTTTGAGTTGTCTTGCCAATTTAAAGTGTTACTCTGGTCTCTTTCACGTTGCTGGCCTTTCACTGAAAGAGTTTTAACTCTTTAAGTTAAACTCTTAAGAGTTTAACTACAAACTGTCCTCAACAAATCTGCAGTACTATACTAAAGTCTACCTGCCCACCTTTCAGTATATATTCTGTTAGTTTTTGGTAATTTGTGTGTGTTATGTAATATAAGAACTTCCAAAGTAATTTGAAACATACATGAAAACTTTTCACCCTTACTATTTTTAAGGTAACTATCCATCATTATAATTATAAATTAAGTCTTATAGATGGTCTAAATGCATCTTCAGTGTTTGAAAACAGATTGAAAAGCCAGTGTTTTAAGTTTTAGCACAAAGCAGGCTAAAATATTTCTTGAAGGAAATTAATTTAGCAATACTTTTTTCTTTGCATTATCTTCCAGTACACTATTTTGTTCTTTTTTTCCTCATCTGCATTATATTTATGTTAGCTAAATCATTTGAGATGAACTCTTATGTTTCAGTGATGGGGTGGGTGTTTTTCTATTTTAGGGAGTATGGTCAACACTTCCAGTGAATGAAAAGAAGCTTAATGCTGCATTTAGAACAGCAAGGAGTGTTATTTTGATATTTTCTGTAAGAGAGAGTGGCAAATTCCAAGGTAAGGGGAAGTGGGCTATTATCAAGGTAAGTGAAAGTGAGTTGTATGTGCAATAGCTTTTCTCTTGTATCTTTGTTAAAATTCATACAAAATCCTTTAGGGTTTGCCAGATTGTCTTCTGAGTCCCATCATGGAGGATCACCTATACACTGGGTGCTGCCTGCAGGAATGAATGCAAAAATGTTGGGCGGTGTCTTTAAAATTGACTGGATTTGCAGGTAATTTTGCATTTATGTTGCTGTTAGTAGCAAGACATTATAATATCATTTCTGCATGTTACAAGTGCCAACAGCATCCTTCTGAAACTTGATTCAACCACAGATCTATCCTCACTGCTCACTTGAACAGATAGCTGTGGATGAAAAAGAGAAAACAATAGTGTAAGGGCAAATATGTCTTGATCTGACTGAACAGAAAATACTACTATTCTAAAACAACAAATGAAGTGGTACAAGTATTGCATAACGTATAGACTGTGAGCAGTATGTTCATTGATTTAACTAAGTATGTTCTTACAGAAAAGATTTTAAGTCTCTGTTAAGGAAAAAAGTTACACCAGTCCTGTGAGATACATTGCATGGTTGTACAAGTACTTTGGACTGCCAGAAAGATTTTTCTCTCATTCCAGTCTCTTTTCCTGTATTTAGTCTATGCTGGAAAGGTCCTTTTGAAACTACTGACGCACTCCCACCTCCAGCTCTAGCTTCATAGTTAGGTCAGTGCTCAGGGGTTTATTTCAGTAGGTGCCAGGAGCTATCACATCATGTAAAGACTGGTCAGTGTATTCAGATGGTGAGATAATAAGCACAACCTCAATATTGCACAAACACCATAAAATTTTCATTGAAAGGAGAGCCTGTCATAGTACAGACTATATTAGTTAATACTGGAATAAGTCAAAGTGAAATCTTCAGTTACGAAGATGTACAACATAAGAATATGTTCAGAGACCTGATAATACAAAGAATAACAGGATTATTTTATATGTAATCTCCTACTGTATGTGTTTTTAATTCTTAATAAAAAAAATGAGGCGAAACTATAAATGGTGCCACTTGCATATTTAGGCGGGAATTGCCGTTCACTAAGTCTGCTCACCTGACCAATCCTTGGAATGAACATAAGCCAGTAAAGATTGGACGCGATGGACAGGTTTGTTAATCATTACTTTTCTTCTATAACTGACATCTTCTAGTGCTTGCTTCCAGCTTTGTGTGTGCAGAAGATTAGAAATGTTTTTAGATCAGTTACTTGCAGTGGAGTGCTGTGGCAAAAGTACTCTGCTTCTTCCTAATGCTGTTGTGGAAGAAGGAAAAGAAAACAATACCAGTACCAATTCTGTTGTTGCCTTTGTGGTGAGCAGTGTTTGCTTCRAAACTATGTGATATTTTGAATTTGAAATGTAATGTGCCTTGCATTGTTTTTAAGATAAAGTTCTGGTGTTTCCAGTTGTGCTCTGCATTGCATATTTTAATATATACTGTATTGCTTAGGGCATAGACTCCCATTATAGAATATATGCTAAGCAAATTTTAAGTGGGGCTGGCTTCTTGTCTTGTCAGACATACCAGAGTGCAGGTATGTTGCTGCTGTCATCAAGTACCCAAGCCATGGGTAAAATAATGGTTTCTGCTTTCTTAAGAAAAGATAGGAGTTGTTTAATCTCCATACTGTATGGAAAGTGTGAACTCTGTGCTGCATTGTTTTGCCCACAGATATGTTTGCTTTGTTGTGTAGCAGGAGAAAAACAATAGTTTTGGTCTTGTTTTTAGTTCAGTGTGAACTTTAAAAAAAAAAAAAGTATTTCAGTTAACTTAGTTGCTGTTAGAAGATCAAGGAATTTTTTTAAAATGTTTTGTCTGCAATAGAGTTGCAGTCTAGATGTGGGTTTCAGCTTTTTTCATCAAATTACTCTATTGTTACATTCTGGACAAGCATTGTCTGATGCTTGTTCTCCCTGCTTCTCAACTTTGGTTATTTCCTGAAATTGTGGTCATGTATCCATTTATATTTACACAACTCTGAATGGATCTCTCTTCTGAGGATGTGTACACGGAAATTCTGCCTTTACAAGATCATTTGGGAAGGTGTTCTGCAGGCCTGCTAGACACCAGGTTGAAGAAACACTTTTTTGGATTGTTTTGCACATGGCTCATTCTAGATTCATTTGATGGCCCAAGTTTTTGTACTGGAAGAGGGAGTCAGCAATCTCTGTCCCTTTCTCCTCCAGACAACTTGTGGTGTCCGATGCTCCAATTATCTCCATCTTGTTCCCCATATCCTGCATATTTCTCTTTTAATCTAGGCTGAAGAGACCCGACCTGCTCAGTCATTGCATGAACGAATTGTTGCACTCAGTTATTCTTGATGCCCTGTTTTGAAGCATTTTCGTTTCTACTGTCCCCCTACTTTTTGAGATGCAGGGGCACAACTGTACGCAGTATTTAAGGTGTACATGGAACATGAACTTCCAATGTGATATAATGACTTTCTTATTCTGTGTTCCTATCCTAATAATCCTGAACACACAGACTGCTTGTTTTGACTGTGGTCAGACATTGAGTTGGTATTTCCATGGACCTGTCTACYGTACAGTGAAGAACTCGGTATGAGTGGTAGTAGTCAACTTTATCAGGCCACGGCTCTATATGTGAAGCTGGGATGGATTTTTCTCCTGCGTGTCACTTTTCTTTCTGTAATAGGTAATCATTTTCTTTGTGATGAAAGACAGTCCTGATTTTATAGCAAAACAGTGATGTGGCTTGTATGTTTCATGGGAAGATATGGTTGCCCAGAGTGTTGGACTATTTTATGAAAATTCTAAGTAGTGCCTAAAGAGTGAAAGGTAATGTAAGTGAATTTTGCTGTCTCTAGTGATACTGAAATCTCTTCAAAGTGTCTTTTTTTTTTTTTTTTTTTAATCTTAAATGTGTGTTGTCAGTGTATTTGGGCAGAGTTTCATTTCTTCAGTTTATAAACCACTACTGAACTTCTAACTAATTCTAGGAAATTGAGCCGGAATGTGGAACCCAACTTTGTCTTCTCTTCCCTCCTGATGAAAGTATTGACTTGTATCAAGTCATTCATAAAATGAGGCACAAGAGAAGAATGCACTCACAACCCCGATCAAGAGGACGCCCATCCCGTCGAGACCCCGTTCGGGACGTGGGAAGGTTAGAAACGTTCTTTGGACTGATAATAGGCACATGTATCAGAATAACGTGATGGAGGAATGTGATTCGTCAAAGCTTTCCCTGCGATAAAGAAGAGAGAAAATCCTCAAATCAAGCTGCATGGACAAGTTTGTGGCTTCATTGAGGATTTCACATTGTTCCCCGGTCTGTCATTTTTCAAGAGGAAAATGGGGATCGTTGCTTTTGCAGAAAAAAGCTCTTTAAGTTCTGTCTCTAGTTTAGACTAGATCATTTATTGAGCTAATGCAACGTGTAATGCTAGCTGTAGGTAAGCTTGGCTTGATTATGAGCAGGCTAGATGGAGAGGAGGAAATATTTATATGCCAAAAATGTGTTAATATCTTGTAAAAGCCTTTTCTTTCAGGTGTGTCTCTGGATAAGCCTTATCAAATATGGGACTTTTATAAGGATCACTTAGAATTTTGCAGAAGATGCCGCCTCATTTTGAGGATAAAATATTTAAGTTATTTTGATATTCAAGAGGAGCATTATTGGGACTGTTTCAAATTGTGTCACCGTGATGTGTTAACCCCATTGCCAAATATTCTCTAACATGTAACCACTGAATTCACACATCTTGCTGAGCTTCTGAAAACAGTAGGTTCTTTCCAAAAGGGATCAAGTGGCCCTTGGAGACCCGGCAACAAACCAAAAAGAATGGCTGTTGCTGTGTCTGTATATACAACCTTTCCAGATGCTGGCAGTACCTGTGGACTTAAAGTATTTTTAGAGGATCGACATGGTTATTGATCACTGCTTTATGAACTTAACATCATTTTCCAGAAAAAAAGGGGGTATAACTTGTTACAGATTTGGAGAAGTCTTTGCAAAGAACTGATATTAGCCCTTCTGCCAAACAGCTTTTCCCCGTGGTAGCCACTTTGCATACAGACTGATGTATGGTTTGGGCTGAAACCTTTGATTAAGTTTCCTTTTTGTGGAAACATCCTGTGGTAGGTACAGAGCCCCAGCAAGAGTCCCCATTTCCTTGAGCTTAAAAAAAAAAGGACACTGTACCAAGTAGGTAGGAGGAAACCTGGCAGCGCCCCCCTATTTTTGGCTTTAAAGGACTGAACACCAAGATGGCTTTTGGAGTTAAGCTAAGAGGTTTCCAGTGCAATAAAGTAYATACAAGTGAAGGTTTTGCAATGGACTGCAAACTATACATATAACACCACCACACCTTCTCAAGCCTGCCAGGGCCTCCATTTATGTATGTGGCATACAGCTTAAAGTCAGTAGTTGGACTACTATATGAACTGTTTCTATCATATTTTATACCGGTCGTAAATGCACTCTCAAAACTACAAGAAAGCGGTATGTTTATTCTTTACACCAGCTTTTATTTTCTTTGATCTGAATTTGCTGTAGATGCAACTGCTTTGGTTTTTTGGGCTTTTTGCTCATACTAAGGAATCTGCTTCCATTTTAAAAAACTTAGTAACTGGGAATGGTGGGCTTTAAAGACTGAAGTTGGGGAAGGGGGTGGGGAGAAGTCACTATTTGTAAAACAAAGCTATATAAGCTTGTTATTCAGCCAGCAAGTTGCACAGTAATTAAGCAATTTAAGAAAGTGTTGATGTCTTTCTGTAAGGAATTATATTGCTGGGGGGAGGGGGTGGGAAGGGAAGGGAATGGTTTTGTAGCTGCTTTGTGTTCAGAAACACTGTTACATTAGCATTGGAGTCTCCAGTAATGTTTATGTACCTTGGAGTAAAATAAGCAGGCAGTTGTCRCCTCTTTATTGAGCATAACAGGGACTAGAATCTATAAGGAGCAGAGTTCTTAACATCTTCTGTCAAAGAGCTGGTTTTATAGAAAACAGCCCTAATTATAATTAGGAAGCTTGAGCGTTATTAAACTGTAAAATGCACCAATGCATTGCTGTTAAATTGCTTAGAACATAAAGTGTTAGAATAATATCATTGGCCTACCCAGTTAGGAAAGTCACAGTTATAGTTGCAATTTCACAAAGCATGCAGAGTTTTATTTATAAATCTTACAGAAGTAGACCTTTTATAGATTTTTTAATCCCATAACTATCAAATACCGAAGTCTTCATACCTTCTGACTGCAATGTTCTGTGAAATTTTCTGTTGTCCAATAGGTTATTTCAAAATGTAATGTGGAAAGTATAATGTTAATGCCTGAGTTTGGTTTGGACAAATTTGTTTTCTTTTGTTTGTATGAAAGTGATAAGAGTTCCTTCCTTAAGTACTAAAATTCCTATAGACAGAAAGTAACAGTGGAGTGTATGTAATGTAGCTATTTCTGATTCTTTCAGTTCAGTTTAAAGCTGTAAAATATTTTGAAGCAAAAAGAATTGAGAATGATTGCATTGATATCCTGGGCAGCTCAGACTATTCCTGTGAGGTATTCTGCTGTGACGAATTCTCCAAGCAACCTTGTTTAATCTTTGATATCTAATTTGTGTAGGCGTCGACCAGAAGATTATGATATTCATAACAGCAGAAAGAAACCAAGGATTGACTATCCCCCTGAGTTTCACCAAAGACCAGGTTAATATCTTACTATGAAGATTTGTGTGCACCAATTCACAAGTATTTTCTCTTTTAGCATATTCTTGTTAATTCAAAAGTAAAATATTGATATAACTGGGATATAAAATGTGACTTATTCCAAGTGCTGCCTGCTGATTTAACCCACCTCTCACAGAAGTCAGTGACGTGGTTTCACTGGTTTGAGAGAGCTGAGTTAACCTAGCCTGCGCCCTTTCTAAGAACCTTGGATTGTGTACATTATTGGGAATGATCAGAAGTGCTATGTTAATGTGGGCACAAGAATAGATCTGACCTATTTGTCAAGATGCTAACCATGAAATGTTTGATAAGTTTCCACCTAAGACAGTCAGCTGACACTGCCTGGCTGGCAGCCTCTGTGTGGAGATGACTGTAGACATTCCTTGTTTTCAGAGAAATGTTTTTACAAGCTTGGCATAAGAAAGAGAGGGGGATGTTGCATTGTATTTTATAAGAGGATCTAATGATGAGTTTGAGAAGGGAAGTTGTTGTCCAGAAAGAAATGTTTGCATTGATAGTGTAGCAACAGCACTGGTCATAGTGCAGCTATTTTTTTTCTCTTCAGAAAGTAGCTATTAAGGAATTGTCATTTTTAGTCTAACAGATGTGTTTCATTGTTAGAAAACCACATTCCAGCTGGTTCAGTGGTTGATTTCTGAATCTGTTAAGAACATGCCTTTTTCTGTCCAGCTTACCTGCAAAGCCTGCATTCTTTCATGCAAAAGGTGTTGTTGCTGCTCTCCATCTTTCTAAGACCATTGTTTAAAAAACAGAACAAGATTTTTTGAAATGATGAAGCTCAGAAGCATTATTTTATTTTAGCGCAAGCATACCTGTTGTTTTGCACCATTTTACTGAGCTCTTTAAAGTTTACTTGTTGGGATTTACTGGAGCTGTAAGAATTCTTTTCCCCATGAGGCTTTTCCAGATACTTTTTAAGTTTGATTTTAATTTCCTGTCTATCATTGGATCCAAAACATGTTACTTAATCAGCTTTAAGCGTTGCCCAGATGAATACATTGTACTGAATACACAGGTAGGAAATAGTAACAGCCACGCATGAACTGCCCCAAGACAGTACTCTTCAAATTCGTGTGCATTCCTAATTCATTTGACTAAATTTCAAGTCTTTATTTGCACAGTTTCCCTCTTGCATATTTGTTAGTTCAGTGTGCAAGTTCTTACGGGTTTATCTATGTCACTTTTTTGTTATTGCATTATACTATTTGTCTGCATTGTATATAAGAAGCTGTAAGTTTTTCAGGATTATTTTAAAGTGAGGGTAATAGCAAACAGACATGATTTTGTAGCTGGCACAAAGTGAAAGGATACTTTCTAATGAATATAAATTTAAAGACTGTTAAATTGAGATGGCAAAATGAATTAATACTGCTTGATGTTCGAACAGGGTATATAAAGGATCCCAGATATCCTGAAGTAGACAGGTAAGGTGTGTTCCTGTTATTAATTTTCTGCCCTGGTAACATGTCTGCATGGATAAATTGGATTTAGTTCTACAAATTTTTATTCCCAACAGACGATTTTCAGGAGTTCGACGAGATGTATTTTTAAATGGGGTAAGTTGTTGCATGCAGATTTTTGGGGAACTTTTATATTCAGCTTTCTGCACTTCCGAAGAAGACTCATCACAAATTTTAATATTACTGTCTTTCATTTTAGTCCTACAATGACTACGTGAGGGAATTCCACAACATGGGACCACCACCACCATGGCAAGGAATGGTTTGTGTCTTGTTGAATTCAGTTTTTCTGTGTAGAATACAGCTTCTTTTTGTTTTCCTCTAAAGGAGCCTGGCATATTCACTGTGAACTCAGCTCTTTGCTTTTCTTAAAATGTATCTTTGCTGTTACAGTGTAAAAATATTAGGGGAAAAATGTTGATAGGAAGTATTTTGAAATTTACTGTCAACAGTAGTCTGGCATTCTTAGTAAGCTCTGAGGAAATAGCAGAACCCTCCTTTAGCCTACACAAGGGGGTGTGATCACATTCTGTATTCTGCTTAATATTCATGGTAATTGGCTCTCTCTCAAAGAGCAAATGCATCAAACAGGTGGACTTGTTGAAGAGGCTCGTGGATTGGGCTGCCGTGCTCTAGCAGTATGCAGTAGCTTGCTTTTGGCTATGGCAGTGAAGCATGCAGGGATGTAGCAAAATGTGCTGCACAACCTAATTAAAATAAGTCTCCCTGTATTACAGCCTCCACTGAAATGCACCTTTTTTCCTATGCAGATGAGCGGATACCTGAGTTTACATATCTACAGCTATGYAGACAGTTTGCTTAGCAAGTTGTGGTTTTGCCTTCATGTCAGGAGGGGCGGTCATAGTGAGGTTATATTTAGTAAGCCTGGCCTGATTTTGCATGACTGTAATGAGTCTTTTGGTTCTTGTCTGTACTGAGCAAAAAGCAGTGCCAGATGTAGAGATGCTTCTATAGTCTCATTTTTTTCAGCTGAAACACAGTTACTTACAACTGAAGGAAGTGAACAAGGTTGTCAGATGGGGATGAAAACAGTTTCTCAAACACAGTGAAGCCTTCAGAAACTCCTTTTTCTGTCCCTGTTTCTGAATGCTGTCCAAGTAGTTGTCCTAAAATCCAGTACTTCCACTTACTTTCTTTGTGACAAAAATGCAAGCAAAGATGCTTTGGTAATACGGCAGAGGAAGACCTTGCTGATTGAAGCAATGGAAGAAATCAGCCAAAATATGTCTTGTTAAAAAAAAAAAAGCTGGCATTTTGTCAAATAATTTGTTTTGCAAAGTCAGTATTTTCATTTGAAATAGAAACATATTCATAAGGAATATGTATGACTCATTTCTATAAGAGCTTGCTGATTTGGACAAGAATTCACATTCTATATGCAAAGTTTGAAAAATCCAAAATCAAAACTGTGACAATTAAGTAGCAGAAGTCTTATGTTCAGTGTCGTGTTGAGGCAGATACGAAAGGAAGAGATGTTGGGCTTTGGGGAGGGTGTTGGCCAGACTTCTCCAAGCAATAGTAGAGAGGTAGTAAAGCCTGTCAGCCTAATAGAAAGTGGTCTGCTGTTCAGTTAGGAGGCTGTGATCGGGTGTGTGTAGATGCTGTGTTTTCAGTCTAAATGATGCACTCCTTGCGAGCATTCCTTTGCTTTGAATCATTCAACAAACTTCCTGTAACTTTCTTGTAGCCACCGTATCCAGGTATGGAGCAACCACCGCACCACCCTTACTATCAGCACCATGCACCTCCACCTCAAGCTCACCCTCCATACTCAGGACATCACCCTGTACCACATGAAGCAAGATACAGAGACAAACGAGTAGTAAGTGTCCACAGAGACAGTGCGGGTGCAAGTCTGCACGCCAGAGTAGGAATCTGGGGTCCAGGGGTAGCCTAACCTGAACTTTGTTGACTATGATAAACAGAATTTTTATTACTTGGATTAGAGTCCCTTGGAAAGATCAGTTGTTTAGATTGACACTTTAAGAAAATTTGAAAAGCTTTTGTCTACAAGGTGAAGTTGAAGTGAAAAATTCTCAGACTTCTAAACTGAGATGTATGCTTAAATTAGCTTTCAGCTTTCACCTCACCATGTTCATGCTGAAGCCCAGTTTGAATAAGGACATGCCTGTAACATTGCTTGTGCTCACAGACAACAAATTAATCAGCAGAAGTCAGTTTTCTAAAACTTTTCCCGGGCACATCAGAAAACAGGGAAGATTTTTACATTTCTGTAAGCTGGCTTGAAAGGCTCCTTAGCTTTCAGGTCTCTTGCTGATAACCTGGCATTTGAACCCCAGATTCTGCATGTGGATGCTGGGACACTTGTTTGGTTGGGTTTGCCTTTTTTTAAATACTGGGCTTTCTGAAGAGTTACAGCCATCCCTGTGGAACAGGGAGGGAATTCTAATCTGGGAAAGAAAACAGCAGAGCTATCCTTTCATCACAGCACGACTATGACATGAGAGTAGACGACTTCCTTCGCCGCACACAAGCCGTTGTCAGCGGGCGGAGAAGCCGGCCCCGAGAGAGGGACCGAGAGCGGGAGCGTGACCGGCCTCGAGATAATCGGAGAGACAGAGAACGTGACAGAGGCCGTGATCGGGAAAGGGAGAGAGAGAGGATTTGTGACCGGGACAGAGACAGAGGTGAAAGAGGTAGATACCGAAGATAATCTATCTGGAGCCAGTGCTCACTTGAAACAAAAAAAGCTTGTATTTTTTTGTGTATTTACAAGTAGTACATTTTATTTTCAGCTGTCTACTTAAAGTTCGTTGTGTAGAAGGATTTATAATGACCCTCTCTATTCCAAGCATGCAGTGAACTATAAACTGGAAAAACTCAAATAGGCCAAAAATAAAATGCACAAAGCTGGCACTCAACTTCATGTTTCTATTGAAACACAGTTGGAAGCAGCTAAGAATGTAGATATTGATTAATTCTCGATAAGTGTTCATCTACTTAGTGACTTCATTCTAGGTTTTTGAATACTGATGGATAACTGCCTTTTTTTTTTTTTTTTTTTTTTTTTTTTTTTTTTTTTTTTTTTTTTTTTTTTGACTGTATGGCAGTGTTGTAGCAGCCTTCCCCCCCCCCATTTTTTAACCCTATCTGTGAAGTCAAGTGGGTTTTTTTCAGTCTTCAGTAAGGAAGCAATATTAAGAAGACACTATTGATACCTAATTTTTATCCTTTTTTAAAAACCTTCCTGTGTTCAGTAACATTTTGGTCAATTCTCTTGTCTAGTCTCTTTCCAACATGTACACATTGCTTGGAATGTTCACAACCTGCGTGCGTGGAACCAGAAAATATTGCTGTATTCTACATTGCTACCATTTTTTTTTATAAAAATAAATTGGTAACTATTGAAATGTTTAAAACTCCATGTTGGGTTTCTTGGTTTTCTAAGCTTGCCAGCTTTGATAGATGCTGGCAGTTCTAGAAAAATAYCTATGTTCAAAAATAGTTCAGATGTTCTTGCAGGAGGTGAAATTGATCTGAAGCCTGAATTTAGGGAAAGGACTGCTGATATAAAAGGTAATTGCATTTCTGTTTCCACAGTGAAGTAGTCAATAACTGYTGCAGCTCGTCAGAGTTACTAAGATCTTACATGTGCAGCTTAAATCATACAATCTTCAAGCTATTGAGAGGCCATCCTCAGCCATAACATACCCGTCTCATGAATGTGTTAGTCCTGTAAGATCCAGAGTCTGCGCGTGTTCTTTCTAGTGATCACTTGTTATTTCTCTTGAATAGGAAATACTTTAACCTAACTGCCAATGGTAAAACTCAGAGAGGTTGGGCCAGGGAGTAAAATTTGTTGTGGAAGTTCTTCAGTTTATCCAGCAATTTTCAACTTTCCRAAACTTTCAAGAGTAGCAATGCCTTGGTGGATTTCTTCATACACTTTCTCCAGTGTCTTCTCATGTAACAAGTCCAGACTGTAGTACGTGCTAGAAACACCTCCACCTCTACCCTGCTGGCTACTGCAACCATTTTTATAAAAGGCAGAATAGGACTGGCCACAGTGTGGCAGTTGTGGAAACATGTTTTTTTTCATCTGGCAATAATTGGTTCTCTCTTTATTTTAATCTACAATCACAGTAAACATCTACATGTGTTTAGACCTCCAATGTGCAAGTATGTTTGAATTCTTTAAAGCAGTACAACAGGCTAAATACATGTTTGGGTTTCTCAAAACAGTTTACGTGTGCAGAGAGGTATTGCTTGCTAGCTGTAGGCTTAGATCAGTCTGTCAGATTTAGTATAAATTCTGTCTAATGGGAGGAGCACATTATAGACCACCTTCATACTTGCATATCTTTGTCAGGATTATATACAGACTCTAAAATGAAGCGGGAGTTGGTTTTATTTCAGTTTTTTTCTTTGGGATTTTRGGTTTGGTTTTSGTTTTTTTACTTTTTTAATTCAATACTAGATGTGCCAAATTTCTCTGAATAGGTTACAGAAATGAAGCACYGCTGTACAGGGAATGTGCAGCACTTTGTGTCCAACTTTTCCCAGCTATCCTGTTTCCAGTGTTCTTGTTAGCTCTGTCTCACCAAGGCCTGTGTGTCACACTAGGAGGCTTGCTGGAGTTCTGATGTGTCATCACCAGGGTGRCAGGGGCTCTTAGTGATCAGGCTGGGTGAGCTGTGCCTGAGACCAAACTCTGAACAGTTACAGCAATCGCTTTCTGATCTGGGGCCTTGCCATGCACTTCCCCATTCTATTCACTGTGCATATTCTGGTCATGATCCCATCATGACAGTGGGAACAGTGTACCAGAAATTGCCATGAGATGYAGTAGACTTGTTACTGTAACCTCTCTTTAGTTTGGGAACAGTTCACTTGAGCTTCTGTACACATGAAGAGGTGGTATGAGGAAGTTTAAGCAGATATTGAAACATGACAGTGCTAATAAAAAGAGTTGATGTGATGTAAGGAATTTTATTATGCAGAAAAATAATCATGTTCTGTTTGAAAACAATTSCAGAGTATTTAAAAATATCAGTTAAAATTCAAGCAGGTTCTTTCTTGAGTAGGCTGGCACACCAGTGAAATAGCCATACCTAGAACAGGAGGCCTGGACTAGCAGCATTTTACAGGCATCTTTAACGCCTGAAGGAGTACTACATTTTCTTCCGTTCTTACCTAACCTCAGTGCAGCACTATTTTCTCTCCATTTTTTTAGGAAAGSCAAGTGGCTCTTGTACTGTTCCCACGTGGAATGTTTCTTCTTTGCACGTTCCCTCTCTACAGGTTTTCCTGCATTTTTCAATGAGCACGGTTCAGAAGCATTTGGGGGTTAACATGGGCAAGTTCCTGACAGTGGTGGCTTTCACACCCCAGCAGTGTTGCAGTTAGAATGATGGCCTGTCCTATCCTGATAGCAGGATTCCAGACTGAATGGAAAAGAGAAGTAGTTCTCAGAAAAGTAATTTTTTTTTATGCTCTTAGGATTATAGTCTCCCTTGTTCCCCCAAGCAGTCAGTGCATTTGGCACTTGCAGCGCCCAGTGTTCATGATCATGGCTCTTCAGATGGGCGCATTTTAAGAATCCCATGATCTTGGCTTCACTTTCCAGTCTGGACAGAGCTATTCTGTCAGGAGAGGAGGCATTTTTGATTGTGAATTGGTGATCAAGCCTGCATGACACTAGAGGAGAGGATAGAGTTAAGRAGCCCAGTTGCAGACCCAGAGTACCACACAGGGCAAGGCTGAATTAATGAAATATACCAAGATAGTTGAGCTATTTGAAATCTTAGAGCAGCAATTTYCATGGCAGGGACCATGTATGATCATCCAACATGGTCCCAAGGGATAAAGCAWCCGTAATTCAATTTTATTTAGGCCAGAAGGAATCTGCTGGCTAAGCAAGCAGCTCTGCCCCACAACAGCTTTGTTGTGGTGCGTTCATGATATGCCCAGCTTAAAGCATGTCCGAATAAACTTATTCTCCAAAGAATGTGCATAAATGCCTTGCTGGGTCAGCCTGGGAGAAGAAAACTRCTACTGGGAACAAGATGTCTATTCTTTCTTCTTCTTTGCAATCCTGCCACATCTTCTACAGCAACACAGGCAGCACTTGAAAAGARTGAAGACAGCAGTGGCTGTACAGGTGAACAAGAATGCCAGAACATCCAGGGAGTGGTACTGGTACCAGGTGAGATGGTGAGCAGCTGGTCTCAAATGCTTTGCTCCTTTGTGACGCATGACAAATTCAATCCAGAAGACAGCTCTGTCCAGAGGCTTAAGTGGCTGGTCATGCTGTATCTTGGATAAC